GGAAGGCCTTTTTTGGTTTTCTGTCTCCCAAAAGGCTCCAATAATTTCCATTTGAGTGCCAAGTATCTTCCACATGACAGGCACAGTACCAGCACCATACCCAAGAGCTGCTCCATCACTGAACTTATGACAGGAGAAAGGGGTGTCCTCTCTTCCAGATGGCCTGTTGCTAATTTAATACAATAATTAATGTATTAAAGCACATAAATTTGTGCCTTTTGACCTTTGGAGATGTGACTTGTGCCTGAGTCACTGGAATGCTCTTTCCCTGGCAAAGCAGGTTTCTTGGAGAATCATGTTTAAGCAAAGGTGAAAAGGGTGTCTGTGCCCAAAGAAAACACCTGGAATGGGTTGATTCACCCTCCCCAGGAGGAGGAAATACTGAGCTGGGCCAGCAGAGGTGACAGCATCCCGCTCTGGGATGATCATGCTGGAATCAGGAAGGTTAAACTCCAGCAGGACAACGGGGACGAGACCTCAGCACAACACTGAGATACGCCGAGAACAAAATTAATCAAGGGCGCCACGGGATGTGGCGTGAAAAAATGATTTAAGTGCTTGCCCACCCATCCCTGCAGCCTGGAAATGCACAGACAGCACTGAGCTGCTCGTTTATAAATAAGCATTTGACCCGGTCGGTGCTGCTGAGAGCTGGTGGGAAGCAGTACCTGCCAGGAATGCCGAGATGGATCTGAGTCACTCCGGCAGGAGCGAGAGGTGGAGGACGGACACGGCTTGAAAATAACCCAACCTGATGTTTGCAACCCCAGCGAGAGATTGGAGAGAAGGGTTTCTTCTGGCATCTCACACACCTCCTTGTTCCAGCATTCCCCCGTGGCAGGGCTGTGCCCCAGCCCCACGTCACACCCCCAAACACACAATGGATCAAATCCCTCGCTGATGATATGTTGGCTCCCAATATTCTGTCCAAGAGGAGTGGTGGCCATGGCTAGGAAAAGCTGCAGCCTGCAACAGGTAAAGGAAGAAAGATAAACACTCCAAACCCCCAAAATTTATTGAAAGAAGATGAAAAAGGGAGAGATTTTGTCGTTAGATTGATGGTGAGACACAAGGGCAAGAGAGATAGTGCAGAAAGGAGCATGAAGAGATTTATCCTGAAAGATATTCCAGATAAACCGGAGGCAGATAGATGAATAGATATAAATGGATTAGATAAATAGACCATAGGAAGGGAAAGGGGAAAAAAAATGAATGAATATATGGATAGAGCTTTATTTTCCAAATAAATCCCAATCTCCTATTTCAGTCTTTGGTTTGCAGACATAAAATGCACCTGCTTTGAGAGATGGGAGAGGAACGATAAAAAACTTCCTCACCTGTTTTCCAGCCTCTGGCAATGTTCAATGCTCCTGACCACGAGGAGCTTGAAGCATGTGTGTAACCCCAAAGCCTCCCAGATCCACGGGAAAACACTGCTGCCAAGGATACCTCCCTGGAAGGAGAGGTGCTGGTGCTCCAGGATGTGCAGGAAAGAGCTGCCTCCATCCTGTGCTTAACTTGGACAAGGAACCCTGTGCACATGTACCCTCACAACATCTATGCTGCACACCCACAAAACCACAATGGGCTTTCCATCTACCGCTGTTTTATTCCTAGACCACAGGAAAGAGAAAAAAAAGGAAGGTAATTCCATTCTAAACAGTGGAAACTTTACACAAAGATGAAAGTCCTTTATTCCGTCATGATTTACCCTATTTTCCTTCCAGTGCTTTCTGCCCCTTGTGTTCACGACTCCCAAGAAGAACAGTTGGGTCTCAGCAGACCTGTGAGACGCCTTCAACCCCTGCTGGCACTGTTTCTGTGCTTGCCAGCAGTGGAAGTCTCACCAGAGACCCCAAAACTCCTCAAGCTGTGGCTCAATCCTGCACAAAGTCACAGGGAAGAGCTTCCTCTGTGCAGGTTTGGACCCAGCCCAGCCCTGGATGATGGGGAAGAGTGAGGAGATGCTGTGGCTGCATCACAGACCTACTCAGTGCAGGTGTAAGAGGCAACATGACACATCCACAAAGGGCAAAACATTTGCTTACACAGATAGAAAGATATAAAACCCAGGAAGAGATGGATGGATGGATGGATGGATGGATGGGTGGATGGACAGAGAGCAGGGGTGGGGACCACATGCCTAGTGGGAAACATCACCTTTCCATGAGCTGGATTTGCAGCATATAAGCACATATATTCTGGGATCAGCTCAAGCAAAACTCCCTCGAGTCATGTTGCATGTGCTGGAGGGTTGGAGCACACACACACGTATCTTGAGGGGAAAAAAAATTCCCTTTTTTCCTGCCGCAAACCTTCGGGGAAAGAAAGCGAGCACAGGCACAACTGGCCCGAGGACATTGCTGAGATCAATGGGTCTGCAAAGTAAGAGTTATTGAGAGATATCACACAACAAAATCCATCAGGAGTGATGGATAGACAGTCTGGGAAGGGTTCGGATGCAAGGAGGGGGGACCCTGAAAACATTCACTCCCCTGGGGGGCTTCGCTGGCACCGCTGGCAGAGCTTCTGAAAGAGATTCCCGAGGCTGAGCCGCCACAGTGAAAAACGAAACCCTGCCTACCCTCCCCCCAAAATCACCTGCCAGGGGTTTAGGCTAAATATATCTCCAGCCCAGCTTGTACTTGCAGGGCTGCATTAAAGCAGGGTGGGCGGCACGGCAGAAAGGGGCTGGAGCACCGTGGGCGGGCACAGGTTGTCCCCAGAGTCCTCACGGGACCCGCGCTGTGGCAGAGGTGGGGTGCGGGGGGCTCAGCGCGGGAGGCAGGGGGGGCGTGGGAGAGAGCAAGTTTTGGGAGTGCAAGAGGGCCGTGGGTGAGGAGCTGGAGGTATATTTAGGTGCTGGGGGGCGGGAAGGAAGGGGGGTGTCTGGCAGGGGTGGCTGTGCCTGAGTCATGGCCCCTGGTGGGAGGGTGTTCCTGAGGTGAGGGGGGTGTGAGGGGGAGGTGGATGCACCAGGCATCCCTCCGGGATGGGGTGTTCCTGGTGAGCCAGAGCCACCACCACCACCCTCATGGTCCCTCTCTGCTGGGGCAGGCAGGGAGCAGCTGAAGCATCTGTGGTCTTTTAGGCAGCCATCCCCATTTATTCCCTGCCCTAGAGCACCACCAGACCACGGCAGAGGTGAGATGCCCACCCCAAAGCTGGGGGCCAACGTGGTGGCTCTCACAGCTGTCAGGGGACAGCAGCCAGGATCCAATCCCAACACCACATCCCAAAAGGAAAACAACCTCCTGCGCCCCTCAAAGGCTCATGGAGATGCCCAGGGTGGTCTTTGCTGCTCACCTTCCAGAAGGAACAGCTGAGAGGGGGCCAGGTGTCCTCACCAAAGGAGAAGTGCACCAGCATCCATGCCCAGGATCTGGCCGAAACCAGGTGACAAAACGTCTCCCCAGCCATCCGGGAAAGAAGAGCCACCTGGGCATTTTTCCAGCAGATTTTTGCTACTTTGCAGGAAATATTTTCCAGAGCAGCCCAAGAGACCTGGACATCCTGGAGATTTACACGTGGGCAAGCGCCAGCCAGACTTTGCTCCTGATGAACACGAAAGCTCTCCACAAAGCCTGCCAAAACCCGGAGTGGGAAAAGGACAGAAGGCAGCCAGGGGAATGTGCATCAACAAGTTTTATGGAAATCCTCCGTCTCTGCGTTTCGGTGAATCTCCAGAGCTACTGCAGGATTGGGGGGCTGGGTGGGACCAACCCCCCCGTGCAGCTGTACTTCGTGCTCCCAACACTGCTCCAAAGAAATGAGGGGTGTTGCGTTTTCTTTCCTTCCAAAGGGTGGTAGGACACGACCACTTCTTTCTCCAGCTTTGCCGGTGCCAAAAATCCCCCCGAGTGGGAATTCTGCAGTTGCACCTCTCTACCTGTGTGGTGGGTGGGGCAGCACCCCATGGGGGTGTCCCTCCTGGGTTGTCTGCAGTCTGCAAACCTGGGGTTGGTGTCACTGCCCTTGCAATCATGCCAAGTGCTCCCTGGTCCCATATTTCCCGTGGTTCTGCCGCCCTGCCTGCCCACAGGAATTACCTGTGGGGACGCAGCTATAGCTGCATCCTTTATCCATGCAGGTGGGTATTCAGGGCCAATATATTGGCTTGTTCTAACTGATTTTGACCCCAGCCATGCATACACCCCCTGTAAGAGGTGCCTATAGACATGCCCAGATGAGAGCTACTGCTTCCCTGGTTTTCTTCTGCAAGAAAGTCCATGGAAAATTTGGGAAAATGGGGGAAAAAATCTGATTTTTGGAATCAGGGACTGCTCCTGGCAGGATGGCTCCACCAAAACCTCCCCAACCCTTTCACCTACTCATCTTCAGTCATCTCGGGTGTTGGTGAGGGCCTGGTGGGAAGAGCACCTGGATGTGGCCCTGCTGGGAGCCTATTAACCAATTTTCCTCAAAAAGAAAAATGAAGCAGAAGCCATTTTCAGCTCGCAGGAGCAAGGAGAAACTCAGAGCAAGTCTGAGGCCACCATGGCCCAGCACCTGCAAGCAAATATATCACATAATCCCACTCCTAAATGGATTAAATTCCTTCTTAAAGCCAGATGGCCCCTGGCTGTCCTCAAAATCCCTCCAGAAACTCTCCTGACAGCCAAAACCCTTCCGCTAATTTTTTAAGCGCCTCCACCCTAATTGGCTGTGCAGCTCATTGCTGTGACTGTGCAGCTCGTTTCATCTGCAGAAACAACAAACACGGGCAGGATTCGACTCCTTACAACTGCAAAGCTGCTTTATGGCCCATAAAGGAAGAGATTACCACTTAACATCACAAACATGCCTCGAAGAAGCCTCCAATTTTGTACTTTCCACCGCGCTCGAGGGTTTTAAAAGCTCCTTTCCCCCCCTCGCTTTAAATCAGACCTAAAGTTTCCCCTGTGCGTGTCGGCTACACTTTGGCACAATTGAAAATATAGAGTTTGGGATTGTTCTTATTTCCACAGTAGCTCTTGTGAGTCAACAAAAATAGGGTTGCAAACGCCACGTGCACGGCGAGGAGTTCGGCTCCGGGTGGCTGGAAGGGCGGCCGACGGCGGTGCGTCCGTGAGCATCCTCTGCCTTTCTGCACCTGCCCTTCTATTCCTGCACCTATCCAGGAAGAGCGCGATGATTACTAATTAAAATAATTAAGAGATTAATCAGAGCAGGGCAACTGCTGTATCCCGAGTGCCCTCCCTTGAAGACGCTGGAGCTGCAGCTCCAGGCGTGGAGCAGAGCCCTTCCCTAAATGTTCTATGCTTGCACCCTGTTTCCAGGATAACTAAGGAGAAAGAAGCAAAAAATCAAGCAAATTTTAAGATTTGTGTGGTTTCTGGCTTTTAATCCACATTAAAACATTCTGTCTGGAGCCACGAGGCATGGATGGGGGCCCCAAACCCATCTCAGCCCACAGAGCCATGGGAAATGAATGGGACATCAAACAAGTCCTGGAGCAACAGGACATGGATGGGGACCTCAAAGTCCATCCCAAAGCTGGAGCCCCAGGGCATGTATGGGGACCCCAAGCCCATTGCAAGCTCTGAAGCCACAGGATGTGGATGAGACCCCCAAGCACACCCCAGCCCTGGAGCCATGGGGACCTAAAACACATCCCAGTCCCTGAGCCACAGGACACGCATGGGGACCCCAAAGCCATCCCAAGCCACAGGGCATAGCCAGGAGCAACATCAGCTGCTGGAGGGTTCCCTTTTCTTTGCTGACCCTCCTTTTCTCTGCACCCCCCAGGACAGCCCCTGTTGTACTTTTCCTCCTCCTCCTCCTCCCCCCCACTGTTTTGCTGTCTGCTAATTCCAATTTTAAGTGCCAACAGCATCCTTCTCAACAAACCTGGAGCATTTTGGGATCTGCAGTGGCCCTAGAACCTGCCTCAGTGCCCTGGGAGCCCACCTGGGACCAGCAAGGTCTCAGAGCAAACCCCAGGGCACCTCCGCTTCCCACAGCCAGGCAACCTTAGTGACCACACCATTCCTCCCCAGTTTCTTTTTCCTATAATTAAATCAGAGTTTTCCAACAGGGAAAGAAAAGCAACCCAATGTTTTCTGTGGAGAAGTCTTTCCCCCCCCAGCACAAGCCTTGGGCAGATTATCTCCTCCAGCCCCAGGATCTGTAACAACCCTTCCAACAACTATTAAAGCACAGAACCTTCTCCATCAGCCCTCTCCCACATCGTCCATCCATCAAGCTGCACTTTGCCTTGAAATGAAAGGAAATTCAGTTTATTTGATCCTCACACTCTCAAGGAGCAATTTCGCAACAGCTGGCAACAAGGATTTATCCCTTGTCCAGAAAAAAAAAAAGGCACAACCCCTCATAGCAGCACCAAGGGATTTTTCTGAATGGGAAGGAAATAAAAACAAGCTGAAATTATTCCTGCAAAGGGGAGGGAGGTGGGAATAATACCTTGTTCTGCTCTTGGCACGTTGCTTTGATCTTTACTTTGTAGTTACCATAGTGACAAATAAAAAAGGCATAGGTGGAATAAATTGATGGAAGTTGATGGTGCCCTATATATGTTTCTCCAGCGCACACAACGCACGCTGGGCTCAGCTCTATGGCTCACAGGGAGTATTTACACCCTGCCTCACCTTAAGTGATATTTGGGCATGTCCCAGACACAAAAAGCTCCATCACTGGCGTGCTGTGGTCTGGAGGAAGGAGCAGAGTGTTTGTCCTGTCAGCAAAATCAAGTGGTAATACTGCAGCTTGGTGATGGACCATCACCCTCCTCCCCTGGGATGGTGCTGAGGATGAGGCAGTAAAAGGGATATAAATCAGCAGAGGGAGGGGGTGCAGCCTGCAGCAAGAATATCTCCATCGTCCAACAAACCTTTTTTCCAGCTGCTCTGATGCCTGTACTAGGCTAAAAAAAAAAAAAAAAAAAAATCAAAACGTGTGAAGTGATTTTCTTACTGAGAAATTCTGTCCCCGGTTGCGTTGCTTTGCTCCGGATCGTTCACTCCAAGGATCAAACTTTAGGATGGAAAGTTGCTGCCAGTTCCAAAAAAGCCTGACGTTTCAGGGGGTTCCATTTCTCCTAGAAAACACCCAAAAAACATTGTCCAAGTCAGTTCCTGCTGGTTAGACAGGATTTAAGCCTGGACAACCTTCATCCCAGCCACTTGAAGCTCCTAATTGGGGTGACCTAACCTGGAGGTACCTGGTTTTTTTCCCCCAACCGCCCTCTACCAATGCCTTAATACTTGTTTTTATACTAAAAGAGGAGCAAAACCCTATTAGCATTGATTCCTCTCTTACAGAGAGGTTCATTGCAGGTTGGGATGACTCAAACCATTCCCCAGGATAAACTGGGATGTGGTCCTGTGCCAGGGCAGCCCCTCAGACTGGCTGGCCCCTGTCTCATGGAGCGAGGGCTGGCTGCAAGAAGCAACGTGATGCTGCCATGGGCTCTGATCATCCTGATTTTCCCATGTACGTACGTTTGGAAATGACTAATTCTTCTGTTCAGACCAAATATTTGAAGGCTCTGATCCCAAGCAGCCGCATAAAGGAGCAGAGCAAACAAGGATGATGCCAATCCCCCGTACATGGAATAAAATACAGTAAAAATCAGAGGAACAGGGCCAGTATCTTCCCAGTGGAGGAGCTCTGGGGGCTGAAAAAGAGCCACGACAAAAGGAGTTACCACCTGGAGGGACAAGGCAAAGGCTGCATGGGGGGACCCTGGAGAAGAGGAGACTGAGGGGAGACCTCCTTCCAGTTACAGCTTCCTCATTAGGGGAAGAGGAGGGGCAGGCACTGATCTCTGCTCTGTGGGGATCAGTGACAGGACCCCAGGGAATGGCCTGAAGTTGTGTCAGGGCAGGTTTAAGTTGGATATGAGGAAAAGGTCCTTCCCCCAGAGGGTGGTTGGGCACTGAACAGGCTCCCCAGGGCAGTGGGCACAGCACCAAGGCTGCCAGAGCTCAAGGAACACTTGGACAATGCTCTCAGGGACAGGGTGGGATTACTGGGGTGTCTGTGCAGGGCCAGGAGTTGGACCAGATGATCCAACCCTTGTGAGTCCCTTCCGACTCAGCAGCCTCCGTGACCCTGCGCCGTTGCACCCACCTGGCAGGCAGGGAGGCGAGGAAAAACCCTGGATACTGCCTTCCAAAGGCCACAGGAGACCCCAAGAGCTCCTGAGCACCCTTCAAACCCACGAGGACGGCACCGTGCTCGAGAGGAACAACCAGCCCCGGGGCTCTGCCAAGCCCTGCCTTGCTCCGGCGCTGTTGACACGCAGCTCCCGAGTCAATCCGTGCACGACTAATGCGCTACATCTGCTGTGTGTTTTGCTCGGCGTTTGTTTGCTTTAGCTCCGTGGAATCTCTTCCCGCGCTCCGTGCTAAGCTCTAATGATGTGCGGCGGCTGCTGTCGTTGCGCCATTACGCCGGGATAATCTTTGGACAATTATTTGCTGGATTCGCCCCCGCCGCTGGATGAAGCGGCGCCTTTGCCAGCTGTCAGTTGGATGTCCCTCCGAACCGAAGCCAGAGAGCGGGAAACCAGCCTGGCGGTAAATTGGGAGCTGCCAATGCCGGAAGCGTCCCAGGGAAGCGTCTCCGGCTTCGGAGGATCGTTAGCGATTCTCTGTGGGTGGGGTGAGGTGTGTCCTGGGGCGATGGGTGAATCCTGTGGGTGATGGGAGAGGCTGAATCCAAAGATGGGTCCCTGGTCCCATCGTTCCCGAAGACGCCATTTCTTCCCCAGATATCATTTCAAACTTTCTTTTCCCTTAACTCCCAGGAACAGCAGCGCTATTCTAAGCCACATTCATACAAGAAGAGGCAGCAAGAGGTCACAGGTTGATTCCTCACTATGATGTCTCCTACATTCCCCAGCCCCCCATTCCATTCTCCACCCTCCCATACTTGTGGGGCTCTCCACATGGAGGAGAGAGCCCATAAATCCAAAATAAATTGCCCCAGCAGAGGGAAAAACCCACGGAGCTGGTAGGTTGGAGAGTCTGAGCTCTGGGTCAAGCTCATGTGGGAGCAATTATCCAGCAAAGCTCCGAGAGGAGCCTTTCAGGAGAGGAACGGGTGCTTCTGTACCAGGGAGGGCTGGGGAGGTGGCTTGGGCCCCTGTGTTTAAAGCTTTTAGTCTCAAAGACACACACAAAAAAGGACTCTTTTTGATGCTTATTATTATTTTAAAACAAACCCTCAGAAGCTAAATCGACTTGGGGGATCCTCCTGGAACATCTCAGAGGTAACTCAGTTGCAGATCAAAACACCTCGTACTTTACCCGGAGCTTTCATCTTCCCGTGCCGCCTCTGCCGTTGCTGTAATTAGAGACAGAGGTCCTTTGTCTCCAGCTATCCCTTCCCTTCCCCTCTCCCTTCCAGGAGATACTGACTCCATTTGATTTTTGATGACAAGCCTTTTTTTGTTGTTTAACACTCCTGCTCCTGCCCGCCCTAAAACGCCTGGGTTTGTGTCGTCACAGCATTTTTGCAGCATCCTCCTCCCTGCATCACTGATGTTGTTGCACATCAGGTGTTAAATACACTCTCCCAGCCCATCCACAGGGGTGCTGAGGGCTCCTTGGGTCCATAACCAGCTGCTTCTGTTTAGTGACGCCCACCCAGACTGGGAGCAAGCACAGCCAGCATTAGGACCTGGGATTTCTGCCATTCCTCCTCTTTGAGCAGGATTTTACCTTCCACTCCTCATCTCCAGGTCAGCAAGGAGAGAGGAGACACTTCTCATGCAGCCCTGGAGCCATTTTGCCCTAGAACACAAATTAATGGGTTACAGAGCTAACCAGCTGCTTACATCTGTTCTCCAATTTTGTCTCCATCAATGATGCATGAACCCACCTCCAGGGGCTCAACCTGCCCTGGAAAACCCAAATTAAGGTGGGGATTAACAGCCCCACCTGCACAGACGTGGCGCCGTTTGCTTTCATTACTCGTGATTAAAGTCATCATTCCCCAAACCAGCTCCAAAGGGGACAGAGAGGCCGGACTGAGGGTCAAGATGCTCAACCCCAGCAGCAAGGATGGCTGGGAGAGAAGAAACCAGGCCAGGATACCCTGCAGAAATAATCAGTGGGGTGAAAAATTGGAATCCTGAAGGAGAAATCCAAGCTCGCTTGCAACACTGGCTTCAGATGGTCCAGTAGTTTGGGGAGCTTGGCCAGAGTCCCTGGACTCTGTGGTGATGGATGAGGGTGCCAAGAGCCTGGCACTTGGAGTTTTCCCTGAACACCCAGCTGTGGGACTCATAGGATTTCCAGGGAGGTGCTACCAGCTCCATGGGGGGGAGAGAGCACCCCTGCTACTCACACTTCCCTTCCCATCATGTGGAGGAAGGAAATAAAATAAAACAAGGTCTGGATATCCTATGGCCAGGATCAGGACCTGGATAATGATCTGGGTACCCACACACAACACCTGCCCTTTAAATTAAGGCTGAGCTGAAGCGTCGCCTTTATGAGCCTGAAAATAGGATTCTGCCACAAGTCCAAACCCAGGGATGCCAGGAGCTCCTTTTCCCTGCTTAACTATCTCCACGATGTGGATCAAAATCCTGAAGAACCCAAAAACTGAGGAGCTGCAGGGACATCCTTTGAGTGCCCTGAGAGTGCAAGTCTCCTTAAGAAAGGGTAAGGTAAGAATTAGGTGGGAGAAAAGCAACCAGGGAGCAGCAAAAAATTAAATTGCTTTTTTTTTTTAATATTATATTATAACCACCAAGAAGCCTCATTAATCTCAGAGGGGTCTGCAACCCCAATCCTCTTTCATACACCAAACCACCCCAAAATCCGCACTGAGAGATTCCTACTCTTCTCATGGACAGGGAAAAGGGGAATCAAGAGGCAAACACATCCACCCCCAGTCCTGTACAGTATAGGGGCCATCCACGAGCCAGCTGCTTTCTGGGTGTAAATCCCACCGTTTTGATATCATGGGAATTTATTCCTGTCCTGTCTCTAGCAAGATGAGCAAAAGGTGGTAAAAATCAGGGAGAAAAACATCTGCCTTTCTAGGAAAGGAGAAAATAGAGCTGTGAGTTCTGGAGCAGCAGGAGTTAAAAGTTCTCCTCATCTGTCAGCACCATTCAGCCTCCTATGAAGTTCAGGGGGAAAAACAAAGGGGAAAATAAAGCCTGACAACATCAAATTAAACCAGCAGCCATCCTTTCCCCCTCATGCCTTTAAAACACAAGCTCCTGCAGCATCAAGGAGAATCAAAGGGATTTTATCCCCCTGCAAAACAGACACTGGAGGGTCTGGCACATCGGGGGTGGGGGCATGGACGTGGCAGGACCATTTGGCTGAGGCACCTTGGCCCAACCCTTTGGATGAGCATTCCCATCTCTGCCTCCCTCCACGGTTAAATCAAGCCCAATTATGACAGGTGTGATTTTATATCAGCGTTTGGCTTTTATTGCCATCATAAACGGTCCAGCTGGCACCAGGCTGGCAGAGGCTCATAGCAAGAGATGAGATGAGATAAATAAACGAAGGAGAGGGGTGGTTTTTTTTTCATGCTGTGCCTGAAATTCATCCCTGCATGGCTCCAACCAACCCCGGGCCAAGGCTGGCGCAGGCAGGAGCCGGAGTCTCACAGGGCAAAATGCTCCCCCAAATTTGTTGTTTGAGTCCATCAGCAATGCCCAGGAGCTCCAGGCATCCCCCATGGCTGGATCAGGAGAACAGGGATGATATAATTTGCCTAAAGAGGGGCTGTGGCTGAGGGGTTTTACAGTTCACCCACCAAACTGAAGAGGGTGGGATGGAGAGTGGTCCAGAGCTTGGCAGCAGAAGGTGGCTGGTGTCACCCAATCCTGAGGAATGAGCATCCTCAAAGGCAACATTTTGGGTATAGATTTTACCTCAGATTCCAAAGGATAAATCCTGCCTGGGGCTGATGCTATTTTAGTGTCTCCCACTCCCCATTGCTTGATCCACAGCCCCCAGGGCTCAAATCCAGGGATCTGATTGTACCTGTTGTTCTTTGCCTGGGACAGAGTCAAAAGCCAGTGTCCGAGCCAAGGATCCCCAATCTCGAGGTTCTTACCAAGCCTTTTGATACATCAAAGTCATTCCCATCCCACCCAAACATCCTGGAGACAGATGGGGATCAGAGAATCATAAAACTATTTAGGTTGGGAAAAATCTCTAAGCTCCCCAAGTCCAACCCTTCCCCAACACTGCCCAGGCCACCACTGACCGTGTCCCCAGGTGCCACTTCCACACGGCTTCTAAATCCCTCCAGGGGTGGGGACTCCACCCCTGCCCTGGGCAGCCTGTTACAAAGCCTGAGCACCTTTTCAGTGAAGAAATTTTTCCTGCCATCCAACCTAAACTTCTCCTGGCACAACTTGGGGCCATTTCCTCTGGTCCTGTCGCTTGTTACTGGGGAGAAGAGAGCGATGGATTAAAAAACTGGCTGGGTGGCTGAGCCCAAAGAGTGGCCCCCTGAAAACCTGCTTGTCACACCAGCCTCGAGGAGGAACCTGCTCCTGGAGGGGAATCACCAGGGCTGGGAACAGCAGAGTTTAAGTGCAAATAGTGAGGGCAGCCCCATAACCCCCCGGGAGGGACCTGGACCATCCCCATGGGAGATGGACAGGAATTCAGTCTGGTTTTACATTAATGAGAGGTCAGGTTGGCCACAGAAGCTGTGGCTGCCCCAACCCTGGAAGTGTTCAAGGCCAGGTTAGAGCAACCTGATCTGGTAGAAGGTCCCCCTATCCATTTGCAGGGGGGTTGGAAGGAGGGAAGCATTAAGGCCCCTTCCAACCCAAACCAATCTGTGATTCCACGAGAGTTTTTAAATTAACTCAGAGGGCTGGAAAAGGCCAATTCCACCCCTTCCCAGGTATTTAGAACCAGTTCAAGAAAACAAAATAACCATAAAATAAAAAGCAAAGGCAGCAGGACTTGCCCTGTTTACTGGAGTGATCACACAGCTCCAAGTAAACCCCCAGAGGAGGATGAAGTGTCTTGGCCATCGCAGCAGAGCATCAGAGCAGCTGGTGTGTGGAAAGGAGGAAAAGATTTACTATCCCTGGTGCTTGTGTTTCTCCTTCCCCACCCCCTCTTTTTTGTAACAATCATTGTAAAACAGGAGAAAAAAAAATTCTTCTGTACCTCCCCATGATGTTTCCTTATTAAAAAAAGTGACAATTAGTCATTTGAAGAAGCAACAAAGAGAGGCAGCGTCGGAGAGGCGCGATTTGAATTTCAATGTGCAATGGGAGGGATGGGGAGCTGAGGCTCGGGGAGGAGAGCTGCCAATCTTCCTGAAAAACCCACAGACACCCCTCTCCACCCCAGCTCTCTCTGCTCAGGGGCCCAAATATAGCTCACAGCAAGCATCCTGCTCCACCTCCCCAAAATTCTCCCTGCCTTGCTCCCCTGGCTCTGTTCTCTTCCATATTCTGGCGCGGGCACTTTCCATGGGACACAGAATCAGCTCCACTGGAAACTGCTTTGCTGTCAGACAACACGTGCAGAAGGGCTGGGGAGACCCCAAAATCCCACCCCAAGGCAGATGGACCCCAATGAGCCTGTCCCAGGGGCCTTGAGTAGCTTTCTGGGGCTGGGGTCCAGAGATGCAGGCTGGGGGGAGAAGGATAGATAAACAGATCCAGGCTGAGATGGGAAGGATGCAGAGCTCAGCCCAGAACCTCCATTCCCCACACCTCCCCATCTTTCCCCATGCAATCCCTTCAGAGAGTTTTGAGAATCAATTAAGTCGAAGGAGCCTG